AAAAAAAACTAATCTGAAAGATACATTAAATCAATTTACTGTACACCGTATCTATTTTTTATATTATGCCATTTATGATATATTTTATCCCAATTCATTTTTTTACTTTCTTTTCCTTTTAATGAAGTCGCATAAACGTATCTAATGTAAATGTAGTTAGTGTGAGGTATCACAGGTAGAACTTTAAATCTTTTTTTAAAGTATTATATTAAAAAACTTTTGTAAAGAATAGTAAGTTAGTTTTAAAGTTTTTCAATAATAATCATTATTAAAAAAACTACTGAAATACTATTAAAAAACCTTTGTAATTATTATCAAATTAAAAAGTAAATATGTATAAAAAATTTTTCAAAAACAAGTAAAAAATATTTAAAAAACTAATAAAAGAGTTCTAGAATACTTTGTATTGGAGTTTATGCAATAATGACAATGATCATAACAATGACAACTTTATTTTACAATAGTTTATTTTACAAATAATATAAATATGCTTGCTCGATACATGATCGAATTTCTACTTTATTATTTTCTTTTAATAAATTGTGCCAAATATTTCATTGTACTTCGTGAGGTATTGTAAATAAATATAGCGAGTGCAAAATAACAAATCACAAAGCTTTCTGTGAACAAACAGTAATTTAACACTATGCTACCTATATATATTTTTTTTGAACTTCATACGTAATGCCAAAGTGTAATTGTTCAAAATGTCAAATTATTAACGGCAAGTCTTTGTCATGGAGAACCTGAAGATGACATCAAAAGAACTATTCTCAACATATAACTACTACTCTGATAAATTCTTCTTGCACAGAATCAATAAGCAAAAAGCTTAAAACTTTCAATAGACACAGTAACTTCAATGATGAAAATGTGACAGATTATTTTAACACACAATTGGACCAAAATAACTTTGATGATGAAAATGAGATAGATTATTCTGACACACAAAACTCTGATGCACAATTGAATCAACTTACAAGCTATAATGATAATACAAATATGGCGGATATATCTTCGCATATGGAAATAATCGAAACTCACACAAGAATATAACAAGGTAAAAAATAAATATAATAACTCTTGACATTTTGCTTTGAAATATTTGCTTAATAACTTTTATTAATTAATATTAAATATTAATAAAATAGAGCTTTAATTTATAAATCCAAAAAATTATCAACATTGTAATTAGATCATTTATCAACAAATGATCAAAGTGACAATTATAATAATTCTGATAGTTCTAATCAAAGTAATCAAAATAATAATTCTGAACAGGATATGTATAACATTTATAAAGAAATCGATTCCAGTAAAGAAACCGATAATGAAGATTATAAAAGAATTATCTTCATTATTAAGATATCTTGCCAGAATTATCATATAATCCAGTATGACTTTTATCTAATCTGCCACTTTTAAAAGAAGATTATGTGATATAATGGATTATTCTTTGGTTATTCTTATTTCAAAGGATATTTATGATTACCAAAACCAGAATCATGTTTTTATTCATTTTTTTAGTCAGTTATTAATTTTTATAGATGCATCTCATTTTCAAACCTTTCCTAAAAATCAATGCTTTGTTAAGAAAATTATCACACAACCTCAATCAGTTCTCAAGTATATAGTGTGCTTGCGTTGTCATTTTCTTTACTCATCTGCAGAATTTTATTTAAAAACTTCAGAATATACAAAATGTCCTATATGTCAATGAGTCTTAACAAAGGCTATTAGAGGATCATTTGAAAAGCTCAAATATAAAGTTAAGTTATTTTATTTTGATATTTTATAGTAATTTAAAGAGTTACATAATATTTACTTCAAATTAGCCTCAAACAATTTATTTTTATCAATTTATTATAACAAGAATGGTGTTAATATTAGCAGATAAAACAAATGAAAGATTAATGGATTTACTATTTAAGCGACAAGTTGAGAAGAGTGTGTTAGGCAATATTTATGATGAAAAAGTCTAAAAAGAATTTTTAGATAAGTAAGGACAACCATTTTTTGTAGGGGATAAAACTGACATTCGAATTGGATTAGCTCTCAATCTTGATTGGTATATACCTTTTAGTTGAGTCAAAA